TAGATAAAAGATCGGATATGAGAAGAAGAGATCATTTGTTGTATTTTAAGAGAAGGTGATAAGTTACTAAAATTGTTTATACTTGTTATGATGACAGGGGAACTCATTTCTTTATATATTTCTTTTCTTTTTCTTTACTATACATGTTTCTTTTTTCTATTTTTTTCTTTTCTGCACTTTCTGTTTTTTCTTTTTGTTCTTTTATTTTTTTTTAGTTTGTATTTTTATCTTTTTAATTGTAATTTTTAATAAAATTTAAAATGGGATTTTTAATGTTAATAACAATTAAAAATTAAATTAAAAATAGGGAAAGTGGGAGGAGGAAGGAGTATTAGGTATGTTTGCCACCTTGAGTTATTTATAAAAATAATAAAGGTGGGATAAAAAAAATCTAAAAAAAATTACTATTAAAAAAAAGAAAGATTTAAGGTAGATAATAGGACATTTGCAATGAGCAGCTGAAGACAGAATTTGAAGTTGAACTATGTGCAAATTATGACCATGTAATTGCTAAAATGTATAAACTTTTATTGAAATTTGAAATGGAAGAAGAACAAGTGAAAGACTACATGATAAAATGGGCTAAGAACCTTGGATACAATGTACTGATGGAGCAGTGGGAAAATATGAGGTTAAAAGGATTGAAATTTACATTATATTATAATCTAAAAAAGATTTTTTATAAAATGATGTACCATTGGTATATGACTCCAGAAAAATTGTCTAGAATATATAAAAGTACTTCAAATTTATGTTGGAAATGTGGACAACATGAAGGATCATTTTATCATTCCTGGTGGACATGTGAAAAAGCCAGAAATTTCTGGGTTCAAACATATATAATAATACAAAGAATTTTAAAGATCAATATTCAGTTGAAACCATAACTTTTCTTGCTGGGATTAGTGGACAACCAGTTAGAAAAGAGTCATAGAAGATTATTCTTATATATGATTACTGCTGCGAGACTATGATATGCACAAAAATGAAAAGACTCTGAAATACGAACAATGGAGGAATGGTTGGTAAAGATGACAAAACTAGCAGAGAGGGCGAAATTAATTTGTTTTATTAGTGAAAGATCAACAACTACATTTATTAGTGACTGGAAACCCTTTATGGACTTTTTGCTGAAAAAAGAGAAAATGAACTTGTGATTTATGGGTTTGAAGATTGGAAAGGATAGCTTATGTAAAGAAGGAAATTATGATGTAACTTTAGAGAGAGATGGCATAATATAAATGTATAACCGCTGTTGAGATCAGACTGCTTCTTTATAATTTTTCTTTTCTTTTCCTTTTCTTTCTTTTTCTTTTCTATTTCTATTTTCTTTTTCACTATTTATTATTTTTCTTTATTATCTTTATTTTCTTTTATGTTTTTTACTTTGATAAAAAATTCTTATACACACACACACACACAGTGTGTATATGATATAGTTGATGTTGGATAATGGTTATACAATCTGTGAAATGCAATGAGATAGAAACTGAAAGACACAAACATGAATTCAAGACCTGGCTTGAGTGTTGGCAAAGAATGATGTAAAAATGAAGTCTGGTCAATGTATTTGAAAAAGATGCTTTAAATGTGCCCTAGGCACAAATAAAGCACCTTTCTTCACATTATTAAAGCAGTTACATCTTTCAAAAAGCTGTCCTCACTTTCTGCAGTAGAAGTGTTATCTCTGCATATACCCCAGACAGCTGGTGACAATTTTGGAAGCAGAGACATGACCTTGCAAAAGATGCAGTTTTAACTGTACTTATGATGAAAAATACTTTGTTCACCATAAGTCATATTGCAAAATACTTCTTTTGAATGCTCTGCCCAGCCCTGAGAATTTCAACCGTATACTGGAAGGATATAAAAATTCAGTGTAAATATGTAAGCAATATATGAAGGATGTAAAAAGAAATGTTCCTTATATAAGAAGGAGCCCATTGGGCCATCTTTGAACACAAGCTTGTACATACAGGTTACAGTGGAGATAACAATCCCTCAGCTCACTTCAGTTCCTTGTCCACACATAGATTCAAGGAACTCATTAGAAGCCATAGTCAGTTGAAAGAGGACAAGGGGTCCAGATGAGAATGCAGACTTTTTGACCATTGCTCTTTCATCTGATTAAAATAATTTGAGGAACAAGAATAAAATTGTTATTCCTAAGATGTAGAAGCAGGTGACATTTAGGATTCCTCTTCAAGTGTGCATCCCCTAAGGTGAGACCAGAAATGTGTAGATGAAGATAGTTGATTGTGAAAAGCCAGTATTAATAAACAATTTCCCAGAAATCTACTGTCACTCTGTGAAGTTTAGGAAGCCAATATTGCAGTGATTAATTTGCTTCACTTTCCTTGTTTGACAGGATCAGAAGACGGTGTGGCCCCTATCCCAGTACCCAGGGGAGTTCCTGCACCCTGTGGTTTATGCATGTACTGCAGTCATGTTATTGTGCCTCTTTGCTTCAATTATCACCTATATTGTGCATCACGGGTAAGAAGAGAGATGCAGATTGTTAACTTTAAGTGGAATCCCCCCCCCCTTCTTTTATTTTACAACATAAAAAGGTGTGTTAAACTATTACTCTTCTCTCCCCTTCCCCAGTCCAATTTTTGGAAGAGATCTGGTAAATGAGATTTCATAACTATACGCATCACTTTCATAAACAAGTCTCTTAACCCAGTGCAGAAGAGGTATGTGTGTGGGAAAGACTGAGGACATCAAGGCACTTGAAATGCCATTTACAGCATTCGAAGTCTGCTTTCACATGGATGTTCTCTCTCCCTCTTTCACTCATACACATGCAAACAAATACCCAGAGGTTGGGAACAAGGGTGGAATGACAGATATGATTCCACCCTCATTATAGCAGATGCTCTGACAATTTTGGAGAAATTTTCTGCTATTGCAAATGGAGGCTGAGTTCACCAGTGATGCTTTCCAGACATATAATTATATTTGAGCTTTCTTGTCCAGTTTGTCAGGGTTCAGTGATGGTTTATGTAAATATTTCTATTTCTGTTCTGCTTATCTGTCTCTTCCGTATAAAAAAGTGAAGATGGGAGAGGTTTCCATAGGTTTTTCTTGGGTACACTTGGATGTGAGCTACTTTCACAGTATCTAAATTTCTTCTTATATTCTAAACAATCTAAACAGTATCAACGATCACTTCCTTCCGCCCTTCCCATTCTCCAAAATGCCATCCCTAGAACACTTTTTTTTCCCAAAGCAACTTGTGCCAGGAGTAGCTGTTATACTTAGAAGAGAAGTACAGAGGTAACTTTTTTCTCCTCTTTCCTCTGGCCCCAACCTCTCTTGTATCCAATCATTTGCTTACATTTAGGTTCACAGTTCTCAATAAGCCAGGCATGATTTAGCTACAAGCCATGATTGGTTGGATTCCTAAGACAAAGCATGGTTCAGAGGCTGGAGTAGCTGAGCTAACACAGCAGATTAAGCTAAGCTGAACAGGTCAAATTATGATTTAGCACAATGTGTGAATCTGATCTGCTACAGAAATATTTTTCTTCTAGTGCAAATAGGGATAGTGTTATAGGGAGCTCTCATCTATGTTTCTCTGTGTAGATTTTCTCAGATATGCAAGCTCTCCATGCACATACAAGAATGCATGAATTTTGTTAGTTGCACATGGATCTGATTTCATGTGATCATTAAAGTAATTGGAATTGTGACTGAACTACGAAAATATAAATGAGAAGCAACTAATGCTCGATGTATCTGGTTTTGTCTGCGTTTTATCAATTGCACACTCTTCTCATGCATGATAGCCCATATGCATACATGCATTTTCTCTGGCTATAAATCTGTTTATTATATATTTCCTCCAGTAGTTCTTGGCTTGAATAAGGCTCAAGTCATACATTACCCTGATGGTCTGTGAACAATACCAACAACCTTCTTTTCATTTCTCTTCATATGCCATTGTGATCTGCAGAATATCCTTCTTTTATCTATTTGCTTGTTTAGGACAGACAGTACTACAATTATCATCTCCCAACCTGGCACGTTCCAGATCTGTTGAAATGTGATTCCCATAATCTTCAGAAGGTGCTCTGGTTGGGGATTATGGCTGTTGGCATTGTAGTTCAATGCACCTGGAAGACCCAGGTTTGGGGAGGTTGGTATAAAGATTCATCCAGCTGGAACACTGAGAATAGCTTCAGGAGCAGAACTGGTTAGGCAGCCCACTGCCTGGAGATCCTTGGAGGAAAAGTAGGTGGACAGCCGTGTTAGTCTATGGGAGCCAAAATTCAGAAGGAACCTGGTAGCACTTTATCAAGCTAGCCATGTTCATTTATGCCTTTTAATACGATTTTTAATAAAATGAAACACCTTCTGATTTTTGGAGGAAGAGTGGATCCAAAATGTAGTACAGAAATAAATACTGTATTGACTTTCTTGTTAATTAAGCTTCATGTAGAAATTACAATTGTTATTCTCTAGACAGTGTATTTTTCCAAGGGCTCATTTGCATAACAACCTCTTAAAAGTTGCTTCAAGCTCTGGTTTGTTTACCCATTGAAAAGACTTAATGGTACGCTAAAATAACCAAGACAAAGAACATGAATGCACCAGTCAACTAGCCCTTGAAGTCCCTAGTTAAACAAATGATTTACCCTAATTTGCATTTGAGTCATGATCAGGTAGGCAATAGCACAGTTTTAACAAATGTTCAGAGGTCAATTTAGGCAAGATTCAGTGTAGTGAATACAGTGATTAGAACAACCGTAGTAACACAAAAGTTGAGTCCTGCAATTCTAGAATACTTGCTTTAGAGAAGCAAGTGATATTCAGGCAGAATTGCAATTCTGGCTCAGCCCTTTCTGAAACAATTCCAAGTCAAGCAGTTCTGGTCTTCTAAAAAGGGTCCTGGGTTTGAATCTCTGACTGTAGGTTTAGTGCATTGTTCACATTTCTGTAATGTCATTTGCAACAAATATGTGACTTTGAGGTTGTTTTGTTCTGTTTTGTTTTGTTAAACAGCACAATTCGAATCAGCAGAAAAGGCTGGCACATGCTTCTCAACTTCTGTTTCCATACTGCTCTCACTTTTGCTGTTTTTGCTGGTGGAATCAATCGTGTAAAATATCCAGTTATCTGTCAAGCGGTGAGTGCATGCATTACCATTACCATTTATATTATAATGAAACAAAAGCTGTGAATTGCACATGTTGGTGACCTTAGCACCCTTCCTTTAGATGGATGGATGAATATTATTCTCAAACTTTTAAAAACACTGACTAGACTGTGGGCAAGAGCTTTTTGTAGCCATGGGGAACTCCAACAGCTCAGTCTGAACCGTATTTAGTTGGAGATAAATCATATTATTTCAGCAAGACTTCCTGAACAAATAAGTAGAGTTCAGGTAGCATCCCAAGTCTAGTTACTAATTTTATTCTCCTTTCTTTCAAGTGATTTTCTCGAATATTTCTAAACCTTTTTTGTGCATGTTTTTAGTAAGTATGAGAAGAGAATAATTTGTATGCAAATAAGAAAGTGTTTAACTTTCATTTAATGCAAGGCATGGGTTTGGATATCTTGTTTTTAAAGATAAACTGTGTCTTGAATTAAATGAAAGAGCAGAAGAGTGAAAGCTTTGCTGTTGGTTTTCACAGGAATTTGTCACGTTGTTGCTTCCTTTCTTCCTTAGGAAGCCCAAATGAGGACATAATTGAGTTAGGGTTGAAAACAGTTTTGTTTGTCCAAACAGTATTGTAGTGCTGGAAGAAAGAAAAAAAACCCTTTGCATTGCTGTAACAGATTGCCATGGCCAAAACCTGGCTCACCTAAAGCAACCAAATCACTTTGAAGATACAACATAATTTTATTAGCATGCAAACAGTAAAACAGTGTACACTGGGCTCCTGCACTCACCGCTTGACAGATAACTGGATATTTTACACGATTGATTCCACCAGCCATGGCCAAAACCTGGCTCACCTAAAGCAACCAAATCACTTTGAAGATACAACATAATTTTATTAGCATGCAAACAGTAAAACAGTGTACACTGGGCTCCCAGCAAAGCATTTGCAGCTTGTTGGGCAGTCCTGAGCAAAAGCAGAACCACAACCTATATACCTTTGGCCTACTACTTTTCAAAGACGAGGCAAAGGAAAAGGCAGACACAGTGTAAATTACAGCATGATGTTGGAGCATCTGGGTGGCCTTTTCATTATTTACCCCTTCCTACTAGGGCAGCATGCTAGCTATGCTATATTTGAGATATGGTCAGTGAATATACAGTAATTTTGTTTACTGGGTCACAGGTTCCTGACTGATTCTTCCCCCTGTTGCCACTCAGGGTCAATTCAGCCTGCTGTGAATGTTTTCTTACAAGGGCATTTTAAGCAGTTCACATGTATGGGGGGAGGGGGGTGCACATCATAGGTTTAGTAGTGAATGCAGCTCGCATGTGTATGGGGTGGTAACTTTTACCACCACATGGTGAAGAAAAGGGTAACCGAAATGATCAGAGTTATATCACCTTCTTATTGAGAAACATTAATGCATCAAAACTATTTTTATCATTTTTTTAAAAGATGATCAAGACATGATCAGAGATTCACTAAATTATGCAAAGTGTGAAAAATTGATAGACATTTTTTCTCACGATGAAACTGACAGGAAACAGATTAAGACTGATTTTGCACAGAATATTATTGAATTATGGAGACCCAGTTCGGTCCAGTGGTTAAGGCTCCAGGCTAGAAAGCAGGAGACGGTGAGTTCTAGACCCGCCTTAGGCATGAAAGCCAGGTGGGTGACTTTGGGCCAGTCGCTCTCTCTCAGACCACAACATCAGGCTCAGGCGACAAGCCAGTTGGTCAGTTCATGTTGCAACCAACAGATCAGCATTTGGTTGATCCAGAAAAAAAAGCGGGCCCTGCACCTGTGGGAAAACACTAGGAAGAAAAAAAATGATTGAATTATGGAATTTGTTATTAGGTGTGATTTTCACTAGCTAATGTTTCTTCCGTGAATTTAGTGTTTAATGTTTAAACCAACTGCAAGTCATGTTGATCCTAGAATCTGAGGCTCAGTGGTAAAATGCCACTGAATGTCAGTTTGTGTAAAACAAAATTGAGAAAAGGCTAGTGTTTGTGTCAGGTTTTAGACTTCCTGATAGGATCAGGCTGCAGAATGTGGGCTGCATAAAGCTAGAATGGATGGATCTTTCTGTTGATCCAATAGATCTCTTTTATTTTTTATTTATTTATTTATTTATGCAATTTCTATAGCTCCCATCTCAATCCATGTGACTCTGAGTGATTCTTTTCTTGTATCTATGTTGAAAAGTCTGGGATCAATAAGAGCAGGAAAACTGTTAATTGTATGGATGTTCTCCCATTAACTCATCTAATTTATGACAGTTATAATTTGGTTTATGTTTCAGTTCTTTTATTAATTGGAACAATAGAGCTGGAAAAGGTACAAAACAGGGCTGACCCAAATGATTAAAGGCTAGAGAAGTTAACCACTGAAAGCTAGGAAACACTATGTTCTTTAGGGCTTTTCAGTTTAGAAAGAAGGAGAGTAAGAATAGAATACGTATATATAACATATGCATGGCATGGGAAAAATGGATACAGAGGGATTTTTCTTGTTTTCATATTATTAATAACTAGAGCGGAATTTCTTCATTATATGACTAAGTGCAGAGAAATTTAGGATGAAAAAAAGAAAGCTAATATGTGGGATTCATGTCCATGAGGTTGAGCAAGGGATTATTTCTGAGAAATCTGCAACTCCAAAGGCTGACATTGCCCCCCTCTCTTTTTGTAGCATTATTATTAATGCTGATTAATTATTATTGCCCCAAGATTCCTCCTGAAAATAAAGCAGAAAATAAACAGAAATGTTAGTCTATGGGTTTAATATAATTTTAAGAAAACATCAGAACCCAGAAAAATACCTCTCCTCTATCATTCTCTACCTACTGCAGCCTTAGATCTGGTGGTCCCCAATCACAGGAAGGATATCCTATAGATAATAACATAATTCTATTCTATAGAATTCTATAGATAATAATGTAATTTTATTTTTTCCTTTATATAAAGACTTTATGAATATCTTCAGTTTTTAAAAATTGTAAATTAATTAATGTTTTTCCAGATCTGCCTTTCCTACTTTTAGCTTGTTCCTTGCTTTCTGGCATCTCAGTTATTGCTAAGAATTCACAAAGATTATGGACAGTGGCTTTGAAATAATGTCTACAAAGTCTTTCAGGATCTGGGATATAGTTTATCTGGCCCTTGGAGTCTTGAAATCACTTAAAATAGCTATATATTATCTAACAATTTCCTTACTTATCCAGGCTGCAGATTTCTCTTTATATCATTTGTTCTGTTTTTCTCAACTGAAACACAATTCACCTTGAAGAAGACTAAGGAAAATTGGAATTGAACAGTACCTATTTCTCCCATTTTACTTGCTTCAATCACAGCGCCCCCCCCCCTTTCTTTTACTTTATTTATTTATTTGCTTACTAATATGGATTCTCAGGAAGATCAAAGTAAAATCTCCAATGATGCAATAGTTGAGATTTGGTTAAATCATCCCTGGGAGACATGATCTCTCACACAACTTACTCTCCCAAAGTACTGCAGAATATTCGCCCATGCCTGTTTTAATATCCTCTCTTCAGCAGTTCTGTAGGCTAAATATAAGAACAGTCCCTCAATATAAACTCTGACCATGTGGGGCAGGTGTAATAGAAACATTGGTTCATGTCTTTCTGTATTGTCTCTTCCATAGGGACAACCATGACAACACTGTAGCCTCATTAGTACAAACATTTCCAGGTGCTATGGACAATCTTTATGTAAGCTACAGTATTTGCTTCCTGACAAAGAATCTAAAATCCTGTGGCAACAGCCAGAATTCTGTTTGGGAGCTTGCTGTTTGGAGGAAGAAAATGTATAGGGAGATAGATAACAGTGATCTTCCATTTTATTATTATATATTATTGCACTCTACATTGATTTTATGTAACTCTATCTAGCAATCTATGTGATCACGAAGAGTCAGTGCCAAGCTGATGGCACATAATCAATCAATCAATCAATCAATGTAGCCTATATTTTTCTCATTTTCTTTTTATTTGAAACCATGTGATTAATCTTTGGTCCTGATCTGCAAGTGTAATAAAGTTGACCAATTGATTGATCGATCATCCTTACAGGTTTGACTCTGCTTTAATATCACTTGCAGTCACAATTTCTAAATGATATAGTCACTCATCCCCATAGTTTATTTTTTAATTTAATTTTACTTTATTCATAGGCTGCCCAACTCCCAAACAACTCTGTGGCTTCCTCCAAGGTCTGAGATATTCAGTCAGCAGCCACAGAGTTAGAGTTAGAACATATTGGCTAGTGTTTCATTTTTAGCAAGATGAAGACTTTTTCAAGCATTTCCATTAAAGAATTACCATCACACATGAGCAGGGATGGGGTAATATGGAGTAGCCTTGCACGCATACATCAGTGACACATGTGCTAATGCCCTTCTTAGCATATAACTCTAAATATTGCTCTCCCCTGAGAACTGTTAGCTTGTATTGGGGTCCAAAACATAATTCAGCAAGACAAGGATGAAATTCGTATGTCACCTTAAGCTGTCACCTTAGTCCTCAGGTACATTATTAAGCATGGCATTTTTGTGGGACTGCCTCTCCCAATGGTATCTGCCCATCCCACATGCTCTAGTAGAGTAATAGAGTAGACATAATATAGATCCCTTTCCTGAAGCAGTGCCATCTAATCAGATCCAGGAGGTGTGTCTTTTCTGTAGTGGTGCCTGCCCTTTGAAACAATCTCCCCCTGACTTATGGTTGGCCCTGACCTTGTGGTCTTCAGAAAGGCTGGAAAAATCTGGTCATTTCCTCAGACATTGCGTCCAGGATGAGTAGAGTTCCCATCTGCAAGAGAGGTATGAATGTGAGCCCCAGTTCCCAATGAATGATTGTTTGGTTTTTAATTGGATTTGTTTTTTTGTTTGATTTCCTTTAGTTTATTGTAAGCTGCCCAGAATAGCAATATTCAAGTTGAGCAGCCATATAAATGATATGGCCATATAAATGATATCAATTACATAATTAAGAAT